TGTAGAAATTTCCCAAATGGTGTTTACATAACATGTAAACATGTATAGTACAAGAACATATTCTAAAGTTATTCATAAAAACGGCAGGCGCTTAGCCAGGCGTACTTTTGTACGCAAAAACATCCACATCATTTTCAAAAAAAAAAAATAGGAAAGAAAGAAAAAAAGAAAGGAGAAGAGAGCGAGACATGCGTAATATTGAAATGCGTACTCACATTTTTTTCAAAATATTAGTAAATAATTTTAAACAAGAGAGGCCCATGGGCCATATCGCTCACCTGAGAAGCTTCGACCATTCTGATCTTTACCAGATTTCCCCTTTGTAATACATAATGTTACCCGACCCTACCCCACTGATATAATTTAGACAATTTGAAATGTACACTACCACAGGATGCTTTGATTCCCAATTGTAAAACTTTAATTCCCCATGGTGGCCCCGCTCTACCCCCAGGGGTCATGATTTGATCACTTTAGAATCTACACTACCCCAGGAAGCTTCCACATGTTTCAGCTTTTCTGGCCCAGTGGTTCTTGAGAAGAAGATCTTTAAAAGATTTTTCCTATATATTTCTATATAAAACTTTGATTCCCCAAAGAGACCCTGCCCTACCCCTGGGGGTCATGATTTGGACAATTTAGAATCGACACTACCCCAGGATGCCTGCACATAAGTTTCTGCTTTTCTGGCCCACTGGTTCTTGAGAAGATTTTCAAAGATATTACCAATATATTTCTATGTAAAACTTTGATTCCCCATTATGACCCCGCCCTATCCCCGGGGGTCATAATTGGAACAATTTGGATTCTACACTACCCCAGGATGCTTCCACATATGTTTCAAATTTTCTGGCTCAGTGGTTCTTGAGAAGAAGATTTTTAAAGATTTTACCTATATATTTCTATGTTAAACTTTGATTCCTCATTGTGGCCCCGCCCTTACCCCGGGGGTCATGATTTGAACAATTTAGAATCTACACTACCCCAGGATGCTTCCACATAAGTTTCAGCATTTCTGGCTCAGTGGTTTTTGAGAAGAAGATTTTTTAATGACCCCACCTTTTTTGTCTTATCTTGATTATCTCCACTTGTGATGAGACTTGGCCCCTCATTTTTACAATTTAAATTTCCTTTTACCCAAGGATGCTTTGTACCAAGTTTCGTAAAAATTGGCACAGTAGTTCTTGAGAAGAAGTCAAAAATGTGAAAAGTTTACAGACGGACAGACGGACGGACGGACGACGGACAAAATGTGATCAGAAAAGCTCACTTGAGCCTTCGGCTCATGTGCGCTAAAAATAAAAAATAAACTTAGAGACAATTTAGAATTAACGATATAAAAAATAAGTGAAACAGTTTTGGGGGGAAAATACGATATTATAGACCTTCCTGAATTCAAAAGATTTTCCCGGATTTCGAACTATCGAAAATTGCTGATTTTTTTTTAAGTGTAATAAATAATTACATTCTTAAAGAGTTTCTCTATTGTAGATGTCACACAATGAAACCCCGGTCGGTTCCCTTAAAAGTAACAATGATTTTATTTAATGCCAAAAATTTCAATTTCTCTTAATAGAAATTACCTTCCAACTGCAATGCTTAACTTATGTAACGATACCCACCCCCACCCCCCTCAATTTTAACCTCAGTAATATCGGATTCATGAGAGACTTCAAAAATCATTATTCATCTTTATATTTGAACATCAAAAATCGAAAAATTGGTAAAATTCAGTTTAACCTTTAAAAAACTATTGATAAGCAGTTGCGGATTAAAGGGGGGCGCACCCCCTAAAATTGTAAAAGTTAGCATAAACATAGTTTTGTTGACAAAATTAATGTTTAAAACGTCTACTCGCAGTACTTGGTAGACCTCATTTTTACCCTACAAAACCTCTAGAATCCATGCGCTTCCAGGGCTTCGCCCCCTGGCCCCCACCAAGCCTCAAGGCGGCCCCCAGCCCCCTGCCTAAATCTTGCACCCCCCTAACTTCAATTTCTGGATCCGCTCCTGATAAGGCATCCGTAACACTTTCTTAAAACCAGTACTGTATATTTTACATGTTTTTATAATTGTTGTAAAAAGTTTAAGATACCAGATTTGTAAATTTTTAGGAACATTCATTTTAAAATGTATACAATGTTCATAGGAAATGTGCAAGAAAATCCGTTGAAAAGAATTCTTCTGTCTTTGTTATTTTTAATCGTTGGAGGTGTATTTTTAATATTAATGTAAGCCTGACTATCAGTCAATAACGTGGTCTGTCTAAACCAATCAAGCATTCAAACCAACTACCGTATGTTACCATACGTATTTTGTGGAGCTTTAAGTCTAAAATTGTTTTAGTGGGTTCGCTTTTGGACAGATCTTTTCTCATTTTTAAGTACCTATCCGCTTTTTATACAAGGAAAAAACAATCCTTAAATCTGGCTGCATAACAAGCAGAAAAAGTGTAAGAAAAATGCTTTCAGAAGGGTCAAACATGCACATCGAAATTGTCGAAAATTCACCTCCCCCATTGGGGGCCTTAAGGCCACCCACAAACCCCCAGCATATCCAGGCGTCCACATCAAATGTACCCTGGCTACGCCCCTGAACGGTAAAACTATATACTTTTCCATCTAGCCTATTTAAGAAAACGTACGAGTCGTGTGTTTGTGGTGTCGGGGGTGGTGGGAGAGGGGGGCTCCTATTTTGAGCAAAACATTTATCAAAATCTAATTTACATCATTAGTTAAATTCTGTTTTTTTCAGACTGGTAATGAATAAAGCATATAAAATACATATAAGAGGTTCTGAGTCATAGATCACATGGGTCACAGGGTCTGGGATTTTCATTCTCAATTTGAAGAATACATGTTCTGTGTAAATTATAGAATTATTTTGACTTTTTCCTTGGAAAGCCCAATATATACGAGTGTGTATTTAGAGGCAAACTTCGTAGTGCGGGCATTACTGTCTCATGACAGCATCTCGTAGATATAACTATGCATGGGGACCACTTTATGGTGTTAAAGTTAAAAATTTTACAACACTTCCTCAATTGATAAGAATAACGAGAAACAGATAATTCTTAATTATTTTTTTATTGGGAAATATCGCACTTTCTAAGAAGAACCCAATCAAAAAATCAAAAAGATGCTTGCAATCATATGGATAATAGAAGTGATTTGTATGATTTTTCTGCATGGAATTTCAATAATTCAGAAAGTATTTCTTTTCACCTTTTACACCAGTTTTATTTTTTAGAAACAACAGGGCAAGATTTATATGAAAACCATTGATACCTTGTTCTTTCTTTTGTCAAGGTGTAATGATGATAATCTTATGGTTGTCATAGCAATGACCTATGTTCATAAAAATGTCTCTGACTGCATTAATAACAGAAAGGAAATATCTCAAAAACTTGACGATTTTAGCTATTTTTCAAAACATAGATGTGTTTTGTTGCAAAGAAGAGGTCATCAGTAAATTAACATGAAACATCCTGTTCATAATTTAATTCGAGCGCAGATACGTATCCAGTTTTCATTTAGATCGGACTTGTCAAACCGCACGTGGCATTCGGTGCGTAATATACTCTGACGTCACATGACGTCGTTTGTATTGTTGCTTTACTAAACCGATACCTGAACGGGCCTATTTCAATCAGTTTATGACTATTTTTCTGTAATGAACAGATACATTTCGATAACTTTTGAAGGAGATAGAGACTTTACATTTGGTATGCATACTCCATTAATTAATTGCTTTCAAATTACACCAAGTACAATGATCCAGTAAATTGACTGTGACCTACTGTAAATCTGTTTAATTCCACGGTGTTTAAATTTCACGATGTCTCAAAAAGTACCATTCACGATGGTTTTAATTTCACGCAACTAGAAATTAATTTAATTTTCGCATAAGCATTTAAAAGTTTTTAAAAGAAATGATGACCTTCGCTATGGATTTAACTTCGCGGAAAAATGGTGAATCGCGAACATAGTGAAAATTAAACCATCGTGATTATTTACCAATCTACAGTATTTGATAAAAATTAATCTTTAGAACTTTGTTTCCGCCGGGTGCATAGTGTTATACAAACACATCTTGTTTAAATTGTATATAATTGATTTACTTAAAACAAGCATTTATTTACTGAATCCAGGAGATTTCAGAGCAGTTCAAGTACAAATAATTACTTAAATATGGTAGTCTAATCACTATCGAGATTGATTTCTTGAAATATAAGTAAGATCGACAAAAGAGTCTTCTCACTGTACATGCTGTTAGTAAATATTCATATAACTGTGTTCAAATACTTAATAATGTTGTTTTTATGCCGCCACTTGTCAAAAGATAGGATTCAATACATTGGTCATGAAGATACAAAGTAATGGGTACATTTTTTCCTTCAGTTAAATTTATGCACCTTATCGTGTTATAAATTGCATATAAAGTTACACATTGTTGATGCATGGTGTTGTAACTTTGATAACTATACATGTATGTATGTATGCATTATGTTGCAGTACTTTAAGCCATTTGGATATCCATATGATATTAAATAATAAGTTTCTATCAAATCCCAATGCTGTTTCTTTACATAATAAAGGGGTCCTGACCCTTTTCTATAAATTTCACTTGAGAAAATTTAAAATTTGTAAGATTGATTTTCAAAAACAACAATAACATTAGAGTCACATAGAAAATAGTTTGAAGTATGAAGCACTGCTTATTTTCTCAGAAATGATTTTTATGTCAGATCATGATATGAAAAAATTAAACATTGAGAACAGAAATATAAACGATTTATTATCACAACATTTAATTTAATATATGAGGTGCATATGAAAATAATACTTAGTATCATACCTATTAAAACTATGTTAGAAAACAACACGAAGCGATGTTTCCTAAGTCAGAAAATCACACAATGTTGTATGTTGTTGTAAGAAAAAAAACATCTTTTGGGAGGAGTTATCTTTCTTCATGTGAAAAAAGTTATACTAATAAAAATGCGGTATTGAGTACTTGAAACATTAAACCAGTTTTAAAGTGGTCCTTAAAAAGATACAGCCTATTCAATTTATAAGGCTTTTGATGTTGGGATTAAATGTTTTACTGTTAAATATAATAAAACAATTAAAAAGAAATTGGCAAAAGAAATGGAAAGTATTGTTTCCATCCACTGTAGATTTCAATAAGTCTCAATAAGATATATCTGATCAACAAAACTTTGAATAATAATCACAACTTGTACTTTCGAAGTTAACTCTATTTTGAGAGGGTCTATACCTTGCAGTGTTTAATGGTTTATGGTAAATTTTTGAGATCATCAATGTCGTAAAAATACCTTTCGACAAAATAGGTTCAATATTACATAAGGATGAGTCAATAATAATTTATGTAATGATGTAATTTAATGCAAAGAGTTCAACTTTAACAATGTCGGTAAAGACACTTGGACGTAAAAAAACTAATATTTGTAGAGTAGACATTTTAATGAATTAATGAAGAAATATTATTTCAGATCACTACAAAGCAACCAGATAACCACCATTGCAGACAACGCCTTTAATGGATTGCCAAATTTACAGACACTGTAAGTTTTTGATCATTTTTTTTTATTTGTCAGATTAAAAGAAAATTTTATTTATTAGCAAATTCGCAAATTTAATGTATCAGGGAATTTGCTTACAACATTTCAAGAAAAGATTGCGGATATTCATTGGATTTAGTAAAGGACAATAGATGTTGTCTCTGCAGGTCGGCGCATGTACTGAACATAAACAAACGTAGTAGATAATAAGTTGGTTATTTGACTCTATAGAATGCATGATGAAGTACACTGAATGTTTACTGCCAAGGGTGAAAAAATAACTTATACTTAATGTTTCTTTATACATAAAAAAACCACATCATGTACAATGTTTTTGGAGCTTTTTATATTTGAGGAGTGACAGGTGAAGTGATGTAGTAAGTCTTTCATTAACATGTTCAAACTCAAACAAGGATAAAAGTATTTTCTATACATTACTGCTCAAATTGTTTTCATGAACATAATGCTTGAATTTAGTACACGTACTTAAGAAACAAGTGTAAACTTATAGGGTTTAGAATAAGTGGTTTTTTGAACAATTTTAACCTGGAATATATTTGCTGTTCGTTATATCCATACCCGTCATTCATTTAAGAAGGATATGGAGATAAGAAAAACATTCAATATCAAAGTCCATTAACAATACAAAATAGGAGTTGAGCAAACATGATCCCCAAAAATTGAATCGATCTGAAGTCAAGTATTGAAATCAATCTGATGCCATAAAGAAAGAAAATCTTGGGATGAGGAATGTAGCAGATTCCTTATATTATACGGTGCAAGAGTAATTAAAAACAATTCATAAAATTGGTAAAGAGCAATTCATTTGCCCATTCCATGATTGTACACCCGTACGTATTGTCATACGTATATTCAGTCGTATGTATTTTCAAGTTAAAAATAAAGAGGTAGGGGCTCCATGGGGGAAAATCGGCCCCAGCTTAAAATTAAATTTATTTGTTTTTGGTTATGTGTTGTGGATATCTATTGTTTAGAAATATCATTAATTTGTCCGAGAATCTTAATTTAAGAAGATAATTAAAGAATTAATTAATCACAATTTTGTTAACGTAAGCGTTAGAAAGTAGCGTCATTAAGTAATAAACACACAGTAACTCATTACCTTCCTCTGAGGTCACTGAGATAAAACTACTTACTCATACTACTAACAATAATAAAACTTATTTGATAGGTTACAACCGCCAAAGAAGACGGTATGGTTTTAGCTTAATTGTGCCCTAAAAATGTAATGTCATCAAAAAGTTTTGAATTCGGCTTCAATATTAGTTAAGTATATAGCGGTGATAAATCAGGAAAGAATATAGCACAAAGAATTTCAATTCTGCAAATATGAAATTATTAATGTGATGCATTTCTGTATTTTTAACAGAAAAAGCCTCAAATTAGCCAATTTCAAGGGTAATTTTCCTTTAGAAAATAGTTTCCACAGCCATCGCGCACTTTTATTTTTTGATATGTTGTGCAAAAAACCATAAAAAATCACATATCTCAAAATCTTTGTGGGCGATGCCTGTGGACAATATTTACTGAAAGAAAATTTCATTGAAAATTGTTGTCTTCTGCTTCATTTGTAATAAATACGTGAAAATGCATAAGTTTATGACGTCACAATTAGCATTTAAAAACACATGTGAGAAAAATGATTTGTATGATTTTTCTGCATGGAATTTCAATAATTCAGAAAGCATTTGTTTTCACCTTTTACACCAGTTTTATTTTTTAGAAACAACAGGGCAAGATTTATATGAAAACCATTGATACCTTGTTCTTTCTTTTGTCAAGGTGTAATGATGATAATCTTATGGTTGTCATAGGAATGACCTATGTTCATAAAAATGTCTCTGACTGCATTAATAACAGAAAGGAAATATCTCAAAAACTTGACGATTTTAGCTATTTTCAAAACATAGATGTGTTTTGTTGCAAAGAAGAGGTCATCAGTAAATTAACATGAAACATCCTGTTCATAATTTAATTCGAGCGCAGATACGTATCCAGTTTTCATTTAGATCGGACTTGTCAAACCGCACGTGGCATTCGGTGCGTAATATACTCTGACGTCACATGACGTCGTTTGTATTCTTGCTTTACTAAACCGATACCTGAACGGGCCTATTTCAATCAGTTTATGACTATTTTTCTGTAATGAACAGATACATTTCGATAACTTTTGATTGATTGATTGTATATTGTTTAACGTCCCTCTTGAGTGATAACTTTTGAAGGAGATAGAGACTTTATATTTGGTATGCATACTCCATTATTTAATTGCTTTCAAATTACACCAAGGACAATGATCCAGTAAATTGACTGTGACCTACTGTAAATCTTTTTAATTCCACGGTGTTTAAAATTCACGATTTCTCAAAAAGTACCATTCACGATGGTTTTAATTTCACGCAACTAGAAATTAATTTAATTTTCGTATAAGCATTTAAAAGTTTTTAAAAGAAATGATGACCTTCGCTATGGGTTTAACTTCGCGAAAAATGGTGAATCGCGAACATAGTGAAAATAAAACCATTATGATTATTTACCAATCTACAGTATTTGATAAAAATTAATCTTTAGAACTTTGTTTCCGCCGGGTGCATAGTGTTTTACAAACACATCTTGTTTAAATTGTATATAATTGATTTACTTAAAACAAGTATTTATTTACTGAATCCAGGAGAATTCAGAGCAGTTCAAGTACAAATAATTACTTAAATATGGTAGTCTAATCACTATCGAGATTGATTTCTTGAAATATAATTAAGATCGACAAAAGAGTCTACTCACTGTACATGCTGTTAGTAAATATTTATATAACTGTGTTCAAATACTTAATAATGTTGTTTATATGCCGCCACTTGTCAGAAGATAGGATTCAATACATTGGTCATGAAGATACAAAGTAATGGGTACATTTTTTCCTTCAGTTAAATTTTTGCACCTTATCGTGTTATAATTTGCATATAACTTTACACATTGTTGATGCATGGTGTTGTAACTTTTATAACTATACATGTATGTATGTATGCATTATGTTGCAGTACTTTAAGCCATTTGGATATCCATATGATATTAAATAATAAGTTTCGATCAAATCACAATGCTGTTTCTTTACATAATTAAGGGGTCCTGACCCTTTTCTATAAATTTCACTTGAGAAAATTTAAAATTTGTAAGATTGATTTTCAAAAACAACAATAACATTAGAATCACATAGAAAATAGTTTGAAGTATGAAGCACTGCTTATTTTCTCAGAAATGATTTTTATGTCAGATCATGATATGAAGAAATTAAACATTGAGAACAGAAATATAAACGATTTATTATCACAACATTTAATTTATATATGAGGTGCATATGAAAATAATACTTAGTATCATACCTATTAAAATTATGTTAGAAAACAACACGAAGCGACGTTTCCTAAGTCAAAAAATCACACAATGTTGTATGTTGTTGTAAGAAAAAAAAAACATCTGTTGGGAGGAGTTATATTTCTTCTAAATATTTCTTCATGTGAAAAAAGTTATACTAATAAAAATGCTGTATTGAGTACTTGAAACATTAAACCAGTTTTAAAGTGGTCCTTAAAAAGATACAGCCTATTCAATTTATAAGGCTTTTGATGTTGGGATTAAATGTTTTACTGTTAAATATAATAAAACAATTAAAAAGAAATTGGCAAAAGAAATGGAAAGTATTGTTTCCATCCACTGTACATTTTAATAAGTCTCAATAAGGTATCTCTGATCAACAAAACTTTGAATAATAATCACAACTTGTACTTTCAAAGTTAACTCTATTTTGAGAGGGTCTATACCTTGCAGTGTTTAATGGTTTATGGTAAATTTTTGAGATCATCAATGTCGTAAAAATACCTTTCGACAAAATAGGTTCAATATTACATAAGGATGAGTCAATGATAATTTATGTAATGATGTAATCTAATGCAAAGAGTTCAACATTAACAATGTCGGTAGAGACACTTAGACCTTAAAAAAAACTAATATTTGTAGAGTAGACATTTTAATGAATTAAAGAAGAAATATTATTTCAGATCACTACAAAGCAACCAGATAAGCACCATTGCAGACAACGCCTTTAATGGATTGCCAAATTTACAGACACTGTAAGTTTTTGATCATTTTTTTATTTGTCAGATTAAAAGAAAATTTTATTTATTAGCAAATTCGCAAATTTAATGTATCAGGGAATTTTCTTACAACATTTCAAGAAAAGATTGCGGATATTCATTGGATTGAGTAAAGGACAATAGATGTTGTCTCTGCAGGTCGGCGCATGTACTGAACATAAACAAACGTAGTAGATAATAAGTTGGTTATTTGACTCTATAGAATGCATGATGAAGTACACTGAATGTTTACTGCCAAGGGTGAAAAAATAACTTCTACATAATGTTTCTTTATACATAAAAAAAAACATCAGGTACAATGTCTTTGGAGCTTTTTATTTTTTGAGGAGTGACAGGTGAACTGATGTAGTAAGTCTTTCATTAACATGTTCAAACTCAAACAAGGATAAAAGTATTTTCTATACATTACTGCTCAAATTGTTTTCATGAACATAATGCTTGAATTTAGTACACGTACTTAAGAAACAAGTGTAAACTTATAGGGTTTAGAATAAGTGTTTTTTTTTAACAATTTTAACCTGGAATATATTTGCTGTTCGTTATATCCATACCCGTCATTCATTTAAGAAGGATATGGAGATAAGAAAAACATTCAATATCAAAGTCCATAATACAATACAAAATAGGAGTTGAGCAAACACGACCCCCAAAAATTGAATCGATCTGAAGTCAAGTATTGAAATCAATCTGATGCCATAAAGAAAGAAAATCTTGGGATGAGGAATATAGCAGATTCCTTACATTATACAGTGCAAGAGTAATTAAAAACAATTCACAAAATTGGTAAAGAGCAATTCATTTGCCCATTCCATGATTGTACACTCGTACGTATTGTCATACGTATATTCAGTCATATGTATTTTCAAGTTAAAAATAAAGAGGTAGGGGCTCCATGGGGGAAAATCGGCCCCAGCTTAAAATTAAATTAATTTGTTTTTGGTTATGTGTTGTGGATATCTATTGTTTAGAAATATTATTAATTTGTCCGAGAATCTTAATTTCAGAAGATAATTAAAGAATTAATTAATCACAATTTTGTTAACGTAAGCGTTAGAAAGTAGCGTCATTAAGTAATAAGCACACAGTAACTCATTACCTTCCTCTGAGGTCACTGAGATAAAACTACTTACTCATACTACTAACAATAATAAAACTTATTTGATAGGTTACAACCGCCAAAGAAGGCGGTATGGTTTTAGCTTATCGGGATGAAGGACCTTTAGCTGAAAAAATACCTGTCATTTAATTTTTTTCATATTTTGTATATATCTTATTTAGTATGTCCTACATACTATAAAGCAGACATATCAATAGGTTTCTAGACTTATTTTTGAGATATTGAGTGACAAATACCATACCCCACAGTGTCTGAGCGGAGTTTTTATTCTCCGTGTTTCTGGGTCCACAACTCGGTCGATAATTGAAATTTTTCACCATAGATAAAAAATATACCAGCGGAAATGTGTCTTTTAAATTTTATTATAGTATGAATAGGGTTAAAAATTCGAAAAAAAGCAAGATTCTTTTGTAACACCACATCTGGAGACGGAAATTTACGACTTTTTTAGGACAACTTAAACCATAAGAAAATTAATTTGCAAAAAATCCTATCATTCAATATTTGAAAATTTACGTCGAAGTTCAAGGTCGCCATTGTATTGATTAACTGTAAAAATATCGATTGGTAAAGCTGAGCTCAATATTGCACGGGGCAAAGTTAAACGAGTCATGATCATAGAAAAACGTGTCATGTTTACATTTCTCGAGTACCGGAAAACCCTACTATGACGTCACACATTTGCGAAATAAGCTAAGCAAGACATAACTACAATATATTTCCGTCAACAACCATGTAAAATATTTTTTGTGTTCTGTAATTCATAAAATGTCCCACCATGTACTGATCATGACCCGTTTTTATGATATTATACGACCCATGTTTTACCTTTTATAATCTTACTGTACTGAGATCCACTATGACGTCAGCGACTCGTTGGACGCGCAGTGTAGGGAAACAGAAGAGTGGATCAATCTAATCCGTAATTTGAAACTATTTGCAAGAAAGTTTGAATGTTTTTAGTTATTTTTATACAAGATGGTGAACTCAAACAAACAGTAATTTTTTTTTTTACAAATACTGTGGTTTTAATCTCGTTTTGTACATATTTTATCAGAGATTATGACGTAAATCAACTGAGTCACGTGACCATACATCCTTCATCCCCTTAATTGTGCCCTAACAATGTAATGTCATCAAAAAGTTTTGAATTTGGCTTCAATATTAGTTAAGTATATAGCGGTGATAAATCAGGAAAGAATATAGCACAAAGAATTTCAATTCTGCAAATATGAAATTATTAATGTGATGCATTTCTGTATTTTTAACAGAAAAAGCCTCAAATTAGCCAATTTCAAGGGTAATTTTCCTTTAGAAAATAGTTTCCACAGCCATCGCGCACTTTTATTTTTTGATATGTTGTGCAAAAAACCATAAAAAATCACATATCTCAAAATCTTTGTGGGCAATGCCTGTGGACAATATTTTCTGAAAGAAAATTTCATTGAAAATTGTTGTCTTCTGCTACATTTGAAGAAAATACGTGAAAATGCATCAGTTTATGACGTCACAATAAGCATTTAAAAACACATGTGAGAAAAATGATTTTTATGATTTTTCTGCATGGAATTTCAATAATTTAGAAAGTATTTTTTTTACTTCTTACACCAGTTTTACTTTTTAAAAACCACAGGGCAAGATTTATATGAAAACCATTGATACCTTGTTCTTTCTTTTGTCAAGGTGTAATGATGATAATCTTATGGTTGTCATAGCAATGACTTATGTTCATAAATATGTCTCTGACTGCATTAATAACAGAAAGAAAATATCTCAAAAACTTGACGATTTTAGCTATTTTTCAAAACATAGATGTGTTTTGTTGCAAAGAAGAGGTCATCAGTAAATTAACATGAAACATCCTGTTCATAATTTAATTCGAGCGCAGATACGTATCCAGTTATCATTTAGATCGGACTAGTCAAACCGCACGTGATCGGGCCGATTTCAATCAGTTTATGACTATTTTTCTCTAATGAACAGATACATTTCGATAACTTTTGAAAGAGATAGACTTTATATTTGGTATGCATACTCCATTCATTAATTGCTTTCAAATTACACCAAGGACAATGATCCAGTAAATTGACTGTGACCTACTGTAAATCTTTTTAATTCCACGGTGTTTAAATTTCACGATTTCTCAGAAAGTACCATTCGCTATGGTTTTAATTTCACGCAACTAGAAATTAATTTAATTTTCGTATAAGCATTTAAAAGTTTTTAAAAGAAATGATGACCTTTGCTATGGGTTTAACTTTGCGAAAAATGGTGAATCGCGAACATAGTGAAAATAAAACCATTGTGATTATTTACCAATCTACAGTATTTGATAAAAATTAATCTTTAGAACTTTGTTGACGCCGGGTGCATAGTGTTTTACAAACACATCTTCTTTAAATTGTATATAATTGATTTACTTAAAACAAGCATTTATTTACTGAATCCAGGAGAATTCAGAGCAGTTCAAGTACAAATATTTACTTAAATATGGTAGTCTAATCACTATCGAGATTGATTTCTTGAAATATAATTAAGATCGACAAAAGAGTCTACTCACTGTACATGCTGTTAGTAAATATTCATATAACTGTGTTCAAATACTTAATAATGTTGTTTTTATGCCGCCACTTGTCAAAAGATAGGATTCAATACATTGGTCATGAAGATACAAAGTAATTGGTACATTTTTTCCTTCAGTTAAATTTTTTCCTTATCGTGTTATAATTTGCATATAACTTTACACATTGTTGATGCATGGTGTTGTAACTTTTATAACTATACATGTATGTATGTATGCATTATGTTGCAGTACTTTAAGCCATTTGGATAACCATATGATATTAAATAATAAGTTTCGATCCAATCACAATGCTGTTTCTTTACATAATTAAGGGGTCCTGACCCTTTTCTATAAATTTCACTTGAGAAAATTTAAAAATTGTAAGATTTATTTTCAAAAACAACAATAACATTAGAGTCACATAGAAAATAGTTTGAAGTATGAAGCACTGCTTATTTTCTCAGAAACGATTTTTATGTCAGATCATGATATGAAGAAATTAAACATTGAGAACAGAAATATAAACGATTTATTATCACAACATTTAATTTAATATATGAGGTGCATATGAAAATAATACTTAGTATCATACCTATTAAAATTATGTTAGAAAACAACACGAAGCGATGTTTCCTAAGTCAGAAAATCACACAATGTTGTATGTTGTTGTAAGAAAAAAAAAAACATCTGTTGGGAGGAGTTATATTTCTTCTAAATATTTCTTCATGTGAAAAAAGTTATACTTATAAAAATGCTGTATTGAGTACTTGAAACATTAAACCAGTTTTAAAGTGGTCCTTAAAAAGATACAGCCTATTCAATTTATAAGGCTTTTGATGTTGGGATTAAATGTTTTACTGTTAAATATAATAAAATAATTAAAAAGAAATTGGCAAAAGAAATGGAGAGTATTGTTTCCATCCACTGTACATTTCAATAAGTCTCAATAAGGTATCTCTGATCAACAAAACTTTGAATAATAATCACAACTTGTACTTTCAAAGTTAACTCTATTTTGAGAGGGTCTATACCTTGCAGTGTTTAATGGTTTATGGTAAATTTTTGAGATCAACAATGTCGTAAAAATATCTTTCGACAAAATAGGTTCAATATTACATAAGGATGAGTCAATGATAATTTATGTAATGATGTAATCTAATGCAAAGAGTTCAACATTAACAATGTCGGTAGAGACACTTAGACGTAAAAAAAACTAATATTTGTAGACATTTTAATGAATTAAAGAAGAAATATTATTTCAGATCACTACAAAGCAACCAGATAACCACCATTGCAGACAACGCCTTTAATGGATTGCCAAATTTACAGACACTGTAAGTTTTTGATCATTTTTTTTATTTGTCAGATTAAAAGAAAATTTTATTTATTAGCAAATTCGCAAATTTAATGTATCAGGGAATTTGCTTACAACATTTAAAGAAAAGATTGCGGATATTCATTGGATTGAGTAAAGGACAATAGATGTTGTCTCTGCAGGTCGGCGCATGTACTGAACATAAACAAACGTAGTAGATAATAAGTTGGTTATTTGACTCTATAGAATGCATGATGAAGTACACTGAATGTTTACTGACAAGGGTGAAAAAATAACTTCTACATAATGTTTCTTTATACATAAAAAAACATCAGGTACAATGTTTTTGGAGCTTTTTATTTTTTGAGGAGTGACAGGTGAAGTGATGTAGTAAGTCTTTCATTAACATGTTCAAACTCAAACAAGGATAAAAGTATTTTCTATACATTACTGCTCAAATTGTTTTCATGAACATAATGCTTGGATTTAGTACACGTACTTAAGAAACAAGTGTAAACTTATAGGGTTCAGAATAAGTGGTTTTTTTAACAATTTTAACCTGGAATATATTTGCTGTTCGTTATATCCATACCCGTCATTCATTTAAGAAGGATATGGAGATAAGAAAAACATTCAATATCAAAGTCCATAATACAATACAAAATAGGAGTTGAGCAAACACGACCCCCAAAAATTGAATCGATCTGAAGTCAAGTATTGAAATCAATCTGATGCCATAAAGAAAGAAAATCTTGGGATGAGGAATATAGCAGATTCCTTACATTATACAGTGCAAGAGTAATTAAAAACAATTCATAAAATTGGTAAAGAGCAATTCATTTGCCCATTCCATGATTGTACACTCGTACGTATCGTCATACGTATATTCAGTCATATGTATTTTCAAGTTAAAAACAAAGAGGTAGGGGCTCCATGGGGGAAAATCGGCCCCAGCTTAAAATTAAATTAATTTGTTTTTGGTTATGTGTTGTGGATATCTATTGTTTAGAAATATCATTAATTTGTCCGAGAATCTTAATTTAAGAAGATAATTAAAGAATTAATCAATCACAATTTTGTTAACGTAAGCGTTAGAAAGTAGCGTCATTAAGTAATAAGCACACAGTAACTCATTACCTTCTTCTGAGGTCACGGAGATAAACCTACTCACTCATACTACTAACAATAATAAAACTTATTTGATAGGTTACAACCGCCAAAGAAGACGGTATGGTTTTAGCTTAATTGTGCCCAAACAATGTAATGTCATCAAAAAGTTTTGAATTCGGCTTCAATATTAGTTAAGTATATAGCGGTGATAAATCAGGAAAGAATATAGCACAAAGAATTTCAATTCTGCATATATGAAATTATTAATGTGATGCATTTCTGTATTTTTAACAGAAAAAGCCTCGAGTTAGCCAATTTCAAGGGTAATTTTCCTTTAGAAAATAGTGTCCACAGCCATCGCCCACTTTAATTTTTTGATATGTTGTGCAAAAAACAACAAAAAATCACATATCTCAAAATCTTTGTGGGCGATGCCTGTGGACAATATTTTCTGAAAGAAAATTTCATTGAAAATTGTTGTCTTCTGCTACATTTGAAGAAAATACATATAAATGCATAAGTTTATGACGTCACAATTAGCATTTAAAAACACATGTGAGAAAAATGATTTGTATGATTTTTCTGCATGGAATTTCAATAATTCAGAAAGTATTTTTTTCACATCTTACACCAGTTTTACTTTTTAGAAACCAGAGGGCAAGATTTATATGAAAACCATTGATACCTTGTTCTTTCTTTTGTCAAGGTGTAATGATGATAATCTTATGGTTGTCATAGCAATGACTTATGTTCATAAATATGTCTCTGACTGCATTAATAACAGAAAGGAAATATCTCAAAAACTTGACGATTTTAGCTATTTTCAAAACATAGATGTGTTTTGTTGCAAAGAAGAGGTCATCAGTAAATTAACATGAAACATCCTGTTCATAATTTAATTCGAGCGCAGATACGTATCCAGTTATCATTTAGATCGGACTTGTCAAACCGCACGTGAACGGGCCGATTTCAATCAGTTTATGACTATTTTTCTGTAATGAACAGATACATTTCGATAACTTTTGAAGGAGATAGAGACTTTATATTTGGTATGCATACTCCATTAATTAATTGCTTTCAAATTACACCAAGGACAATGATCCAGTAAATTGACTGTGACCTACTGTAAATCTTTTTAATTCCACGGTCCACATAGTGAAAATAAAACCATTGTGATTATTTACCAATCTACTGTATTTGATAAAAAATAATCTTTAGAACTTTGTTGACGCCGGGTGCATAGTGTTTCACAAACACATCTTGTTTAAATTGTATTTAATTGATTTACTTAAAACAAGAATTTATTTACTGAATCCAGGAGAATTCAGAGCAGTTCAAGTACAAATAATTACTTAAATATGGTAGTCTAATCACTATCAGGATTGATTTCTTGAAATATAATTAAGATCGACAAAAGAGTCTACTCACTGTACATGCTGTTAGTAAATATTCGTATAACTGTGTTCAAACACTTAATAATGTTGTTTTTTTATGCCGCCACTTGTCAAAAGATAGGATTCAATACATTGGTCATGAAGATACAAAGTAATGGGTTCATTTTCTCCTTCATCTAAATTTTTGCACCTTATCGTGTTATAAATTGCATATAACTTTACACATTGTTGATGCATGGTGTTGTATGTTTTATAATTATACATGTATGTATTTATGCATTATGTTGCAGTACTTTAAGCCATTTGGATATCCATATGATATTGAATAATAAGTTTCTATCAAATCACAAAGCTGTTTCTTTACATAATTAAGGGGTCCTGACCCTTTTCTATAAATTTCACTTGAGAAAATTTAAAATTTGTAAGATTGATTTTCAAAAACAACAATAATTAGAGTCACATAGAAAATAGTTTGAAGTATGAAGCACTGCTTATTTTTTTCAGAAATGATTTTTATGTCAGATCATGATATGAAGAAATTAAACATTGAAAACAGAAAGATAAGCGATTTATTATCACAACATTTAATTTAATATATGAGGTGCATATGAAAATAATACTTAGTATCATACCTATTAAAATTATGTTAGAAATCAACACGAAGCGATGTTTCCTAAGTCAGAAAATCACACAATAGCCGCGTTTCGAGTTATGCCGGAACACCGTTTTTATTCTACTTTTATTCACGCCGATCACGTGATTTCACAAAAATGTTCCTCATAGTTACTTCCGGTTGTCATTGTTTACGTTGGAAACATACCGTTTGAAGCGAAAAAGGACGCCGGCTGGTACTCCTGCGCGGCTTCTGGCTGAACATATGACGACTGAATACAGGGGAGATATGGGTACATGTCGTCAGTACAGTTTTTTGACTTCTTCTCCAAAATAAAGGCACCAACAAAAAGAAAAAAATGTCTTGACCTTAGAAGTAGGGGATCCGACTTCGAGCCTAAAAGAATGAGACTTGTCTGTTCCTTACACTTTGTGGACGAAAAACCCACTCCTGACCACCCATACCCAGAAGTATTTGAATATAACAACTTCAAATAAAGTAAAAAAAGGTTTAAAATATAATTAATTTACCTCATAATGCCTATATTCCACAGATGCAAATTTAAAAAAAAATCAAACGTACATAAGCTTTGCAATTAATATGTACACAACTATTGCTATGAATACACTGCTACAATAAAGATGAATTTCGTTTGTAGATTCGCCCTAATACCTCAATTCTAAAAAGAGAACAGGCTTTATTACATTTACACAATTCTATGAAGAACGATGCTGGTGTCTGCAGAGACGAGGATGGTTGCAGTGATTATGACTTGACACCAGTAAAACATATACGCAGTACAGTTAAGGCAACACATGAAAAAATATGGTAATGAGGTCATAATGAGGTCTGACGTCATGACAGTTGCTCGGCCCTGATCAATCTTTATAAGGAAATAGAGCTCAAAATAACTATTTACCGATATTTGCAAGAATTTGTAGCAAACGTCAATATTTTCATGTTTAAATAAATACTTATTAGTGGTTTTCTCTTACATAGAATAGCAGATCTATAAAATAATTCACTTTTTATGTGCCGCTTGGCTGCATTCGGCTTCAGCCGAACGCTTGCACTCGATGACATGGAGTGTTGTTTACATCTACAAACGTGGCGACATCAGCTGAGATATGCAGTGGATTTTAATGCAATAACCGGGGAATCTTATAAGAAAATAGGGATAAGATAAGAAACAAGGCATTGTTTATCCTTATTACGAGAATATGAGAACATTATTTCGGAAGATAATAAAAGACTGAGACGATCATCATCCAGCTCCCTAGATCCATCTCTGCAGTACATTTAGCCCAGGTATGTATGCGCATGTATGTGCAATATCTAGATATTTTATAGAAAAAACCGATAGCGAGTGTTTACATGATCATTTACATGTATTACATGTATCACAGTCAGTGAAAACCTAATGCAGTGTATTGCGATTGTGTGTATATTATGCCCCCCCCCAACAGTTCCAACATACACATACAAAGTTGAACACTTTTATATTAGAATTTTTTATGTAATTGTACCATAAGTATATGGTACAGAGTTCTTGTCAATTCGCTTATATTCTTTGAGACATTATGTGTAGTAATGGGGATCAAATGTGACAAAAGTAATACAGATTTACACTAAATTAAATTTGAAATTTCATTGTTTCAGTAAATTGGTTGACAATGATTTACTGAACATGATAGGTTGTTTTCTTTCTGACAGTATACAAATATGCTACATAATATATTTATAAAATATTTTCTGTATCATTATGTTGAAAACAAAACCTACAGTTTAAATCTTTGTTTGTGAATTTATAGAACTAAATTAATGGGGGAAATAAAATATTTTTTAGTTTGATTGCATGTCAAGTCAATGAAATTCTGTAATTTATACATTATTTTTGTTTAAATTATATGATATATAAAACTTCTACTATTGTAGCTAGCTGTCAAGAGTTCCAGGCTTGAGGATGAATAAATAAAAATCCCTTCCATTTCTCCACAGGGTATGTATACTTCTAAAGCATTTAACATTTTTAAGCATGCAGGTATGATTATATTTATTTTTCATTTTGGTAAAGATGAAAGAATGTTTTTTTTTTCATATACTAATTACTTTGTCTCGTAAATGTCAGAGTTTTTAATTTCCCAGAAAAGTTTTGTAACACAACTTTGTTTCTATTTAATATCTTGTATATCATGATTTGTTTTGTGTGTGTAATGTCAATTTATTCTACAATGTATTTCATTTAGTAATCTCATAGCATTATAATTTGTTGCAGCTATTCCCAAAGAATCGGATCTATGAATTCATTCAGGCAGCAAGTTAATCCATCATTTAAGGAAAATGGTATGCTCCATGATTTTATCTATTATAAACCAAGCAATATTCCTGACAAAATCATAAAATAAAACAGTAGAATTGCATGTAATTTATTTTTCAATTAATCATGCATTCAATGCTCCATGTTTTAATACATTGTTTTGAATTTAATTTAATTTTTAACACCAATTTACTCTCAATAATGGTATGTATACATGTATATCCTGACTTTCTCATACTTGTATTTTCAGAATTGACTTCATCCACAAGAACATGAAGTGATGGAAATAATTTGCACCTGCTCAGTATTCCTTATAAAGTCTACCTATGAATTTGAAAAGCTGTTTATGAAATAAATTTTTCTTGATCAATAAATCACGCTTTGACTTTTTCATATACATTTACTTATACTGTATAATTACTGAAAAGGCTATTAAGATTTGGAAATCTCAACTTGCATATGTTTGTGTGGTGGGTGTCAATCTCCATCAAGATATTATTTCCAGCATGTACATACATGTAGTGTTAATTTGTTTTTCTATAAAAGGAGCTAAAAAGGAGATTATTGATTCAAAACAGGTACATGTAAGGGGACCACCATTTTATTCTGAAGGAGAGGGGTGATTGGCATGTTTTCCCAAGTTATTTTTTTTAAATAATATTTATTTCCAATAAGATGAAGGACAGATTATTTATTTTCCTCTTCACTGAAAAAATGTCTGGCAAGCAAAAAAAAAAAAAAAAAAAAACCCTCTAATTCATAAGACGTGAGCGCTGGTCTGGGGCAGCCCTAACAAAAAAATACTATAGTTAACTATAGTGATAACTTTAACACTTTGAAAACTTTGATTTACTATAGTGATAACTTTGACACTTTGAAAAACTTTGACGAAAACTTTGACACTTTGAAAAACTTTGACGAAAACTTTGACACTTTGAAAAACTTTAGTGAAAACTTTGACACTTTGAAAAACTTTGGCAAAAACTTTGACACTTTGAAAAACTTTGGCGAAAACTTTGACACTTTGAAAAACTTTGGCGAAAACTTTGACACTGAAAAACTTTGACGAAAACTTTGACACTTTGAAAAACTTTGACGAAAACTTTGACACTTTGAAAAACTTTGACGAAAACTTTGACACTTTGAAAAACTTTGGCAAAAACTTTGACACTTTGAAAAACTTTGGCGAAAACTTTGACACTTTGAAAAACTTTGGCGAAAACTTTGACACTTTGAAAAACTTTGACGAAAACTTTGATACTTTGAAAAACTTTGGCGAAAACTTTGATACTTTGAAAAACTTTGGCGAAAACTTTGACACTTTGAAAAACTTTATCGAAAAACTTTGATACTTCAAAAAACTTTATCAAAAACTTTGATACTTTGAAAAACTTTGGCGAAAACTTGGATACTTCGAAAAAATTAATTGTAAACTTGGATACTTCGAAAAACTTTATCGAAAACTTGGATGCTTTAAAAATTTGAAAAAGTTTATTGAAAACTTAGACACTTTAAAAAACTTTATGAAAAACTTTTATTCTTCGAGAAACTTTATCGAAAACTTTGACACTTTGAAAAACATTATCGAAGTCTCTAATACTTTGTAAAACTTAATCGAAAACTTGGATACTTTGAAAAACTTTATCAAAAAATTTAACACTTTGAAAAACTTTGTTGAAAACTTAGAAACTTTAACACTTCGAAAAAAATTATTAAAAAACTTTGACACTTTAAAAACTTTATCGAAAACTTTGAAAAACTTTATCAAAAACTTTGAATATTTAAAAAACTTAATCGAAAACTTGGATACTTTTACACATAGAAAAACTTTATCGCCAACTTTGAAAATTTAAAAAACTTTATCGAAAACTTGGAATGCTTTGAAAAACTTTATCGAAAACTTGGGATGCTTTGAAAAACTTTATCGAAAAGTTTGATACTTTGAAAAACTTTATTGAAAATTCTGATACTTTGAAAAACTTTGGCGAAAACCTTGACACTTTGAAAAACTTTGACGAAAACTTTGACACTTTGAAAAACTTTGGCGAAAACTTTGACATTTTGAAAAACTTTGACGAAAACTTTGACACTTTGAAAAACTTTGACGAAAACTTTGACACTTTGAAAAACTTTGACGAAAACTTTGACACTTTGGAAAACTTTGACGAAAACTTTGACACTTTGAAAAACTTTGGCGAAAACTTTGACACTTTGAAAAACTTTGACGAAAACTTGACACTTTGACGAAAACTTTGACACTTTGAAAAACTTTGGCAAAAACTTTGACACTTTGAAAAACTTTGACGAAACTTTGACACTTTGAAAAACTTTGGCGAAAACTTTGACACTTTGAAAAACTTTGACGAAAACTTTGACACTTTGAAAAACTTTGACGAAAACTTTGACACTTTGAAAAACTTTGGCAAAAACTTTGACACTTTGAAATTTTTTGACGAAAACTTTGACACTTTGAAAAACTTTGGCAAAAACTTTGACACTTTGAAAAACTTTGGCGAAAACTTTGACACTTTGAAAAACTTTGACGAAAACTTTGACACTTTGAAAAACTTTGGCGAAAACTTTGACACTTTGAAAAACTTTGACGAAAACTTTGACACTTTGATTTACTATAGTTAACTATAGTAAACTATAGTTAACTATAGTATTTTTTTGTTAGGGAGATTATTTATTTCTTATCCAGTCCGGGACGTGTATTTTCAACATTTTCGAGAATTGCCCCCCCCCACCTCTTTCGGAATGAAATGGTATACGTAGTCTTCTTACCAAATGCAGGAATATTAATACTATCCGCTTAGTTCTTAAGACGTACAACTTGAATTCCTTAGGAGTTGAAGGTTTAAATGAAAGCCATCATAACAGAATCTCGTATGCAAAAATAAAATGAAACAAACCAAAACATTTTCTTGTACACAAGTGTATGTACAGTAGTGACAGAGTTGTATAGTTTTCGACTTAAATGTTGCATTGATGGAGCCTATCAATTGACTATTTAAAATTATAATTGAATAATTCCATTTTCATTAACAATCGGCGTTTTGGATTTATATATGCTGCAGCAAAATTTACACTACGTGTAGCTGCATGATATTGTGTGTTGACACATATTTGAGGAAATGCGGAAGGTCTGAAAGACGTCTTTTTGCATACATCATTCATATATTGTATAGAGAACGAAGTCACAAAATAGAAGGAACAAATGTTCAGGATGTTTTATGCATACCGTTTGATTTAGTAAAAAATCCCAGCGCAGTCCGCAAGTATATTTATTTAGAATCTACGAGGTAAACAAACTATATCAAGTACTAAAGAGTTATCTCCCATGCTGGGTCGGCGATGCGTTTGAAATCTTAATTTAGATTGACTGTACCAAGATGTCAATTTTTAATCAAAAAGTTCAAGGGCAAGGCGACAATCTAAAAAGTAGGTTTATTTTTTTAAATTATTCGTTTTACTGTATAGTTTTCAAAAAGTGATGCTCATTTCTTTGTAATCCTTTAGGTAATTTATAATTATCTATGAAATTAGGAAAATACCCTATTTCTCATATGCTACTGTCTGTTTTAGCTGAATAACTTAAATATATCGGAAAACTAACTGAATGAGCATTGTTTTTGCAAAAGTATAGATACATAGGGACAATTTAAAACACTGTGCAGTTATTTTTTTGTTTGCCTTGCCCTTGAACTTTTTGGTTAAATTTGACAATTCATTTGTTGACCTAAAATCGGAGCCCACGTGACTTAAGAGGGTCACATGATGACAAAAAATACCGATGTGAATAGCGATGGACATACTCTTCAAGATAACATAATGCTATTTTAATAAGAATGTCTTGCCGAAAAATCAAACAATTAAATATTAAGTGTATCATTTTCGGTGACTTTTTACAGAAAATGTTGCCTTAACTGTACTGCGTAGTAAGTTGTTTTGAATTTCAATGTTCTTTATTTTACTAATTCTTACACTAAACATATCGAATATATAATTATAAAAAATAATATAATATTCAGTACTCTCATGTATTGTAGACCATGTGTACTGGTGTAATGTTTTTGCTTCATTTCTTGTCTCAGGTTGATGCTGATGACATAAATCCCCAAGAATAGAATGGCTGTTGTAAAAGAATGTGTGATTTCTGACAGGGAGACATCCGTCTCCCAACCATAGCCAGGTGCTTAAAAATGTTATTTTACATCTCATATTGATATTATGAATTCACATCATCAGTTAATTTAAGAATTACAAATGGCTATTATCAAACAGATGATTGTATTCACATTCTTAAAGTATCATAAATACTGATGTTTGCTTTATATAGAAGATATTGCAAGAGATCATGATTATGGAGAGCATACCGGTATCCCACTCAGCAACACAGATGCATTAACTCAGACAGATTTCAGCATTACTGATACAGACAATTTGCAGCAAAAAGCAAAACAGTATAATGATCCAGATACACTCCTGAGAGATCCACATATTGCTCAATTGAGGATTCATATAGAGAGAGCTATTGGTAGATTGAAAACTTTTCGGATTTTGTCAAAAACTATGCCGCTAAATCTAAAACCTGAACCAAATCAAATTCTTACTGTATGTGCATTTTTGTGCAAACTTCAAAAGCCACTTGTAAAGAAATAATTATTATGAGGGAAAAAATGCTTCAGATTTGTAAAATGTTTATTTTTAAAAGTCTCAAATAATTGTATTAAAACAACTAGACATACAATGTATATTATACAAATGAGATGTATTTCATTTTTAATAAAAAAGATAAAATTATTGACTGAGAGCTAATTAAACATTCTTTATCTTTTAAAATTAAATGTAGTTTATACGAAATACTTTATGTACTATGAGTGCTATGTACATTGTATAATGATTTAATACTCTAGCTACACATTGTAATAGAATTTATTGCCAATGCTCTTAAATGTCTAAGTTTCTGTGTGTATCTCAAAACAAGCATGCTTTATGTGTGGATATTACACAATGTTGACACAATGGATGGTGGTTGGGTATGATCAATCCTCAATCTATCTTGCTTATTTCACATGGTGCAGACTTTTTCTTTGGCTTATCCCAGACACACTGTATGTCTGTATAGGCCTCATTGCTTCGGTCCCTGTGCTTTTCACAAAAAAATTGGACAATGAGAAAATGAAGGCAACACAATGCTTACATACTCCATTATATCCTGTAGTAAAAAAGGAAGAAATTAGAAAATGTGTATATAATGTTAATTAATTATAATTATGTTTTAAAAATTTATCATCCTAAAAACTTTCATGTACTCAAAAATCAAATTTTTCATTTTTAAAAACAAAATATGAAAATTTAGGAATGTGTCCTACCATATGAAGATAATAACCATTGATTGTCCTGCTTGTAATACACATGCAGAACTCCACCGACACTTCTGCATGAGGTAAACTAAAACATCCAAAGATCCTACATCTAAATCCTTGTTCCTATATAAAAACAAAACTCATTCAATCTTTAAACTATTTCAACTTCCAATTCTATTTTCAATATATGTAATTTATATAAATAAATGTTTTTAGATTAATTTATTTTTCTTTGTGCTGCCTATATGTTTCTCTAACTGTAAGATCAATTAAGTTGTGCTTATGAATTTTATGTGTTTTTTTAATGATTTTACTGAACTGTGAATATTGGCCAGGGTTACTCAATCCATTTAACGCCTAACTAGGGATGCAGGAGTTTTATATGTAGGTCCAATTCCCTATATATTTTCTCTTTTCCTCTTTCGGTATTTAGACTCAAATGGAATATCTACTAAATGAATTATATTTAAAGAATTTTTTTCTCTGATTTCAAACTAACTCTTTGTAGTTATATAGACACTTAGAGGGGTAATACAGAAATATAAGGGGTCCTTGAAAAATGCATATTGGGCAAGGCGTAAGCTGAGCCCAAAATGTTTTTTGGAGAACCCCACATATTTTTGTATTTAGTACCCCTCTAAGTGTCTACATAATGAATTATCCAATCAAAGATTCTTTAAAACATTTTTTTTTGTATTAGTAAATCGTTCCGTAACAATTGTTTACATTGCGACATCATTTAATGTGTATATGAGATCAATTTTTAAACTCTTTGTGTATAAATGAAAACAACATATTGATTATGAACTGTGCAGTATGGCATGTGGAGGGGGCATTTGATTTGATGTGTGGTGGGTAGGTCACGTTGAGGGGGCACATTAGCAATATGGTGTGGGTAAACAGCATAACATCGTTTCATGCAGTATTCTTTTCGATCATTGAATTTCAAAGATTTTTATCAGATGCAGGATAAAGGAACTTCAACACTTCATACTATACAGTCTTGTTTTAAATATCTAGTAAAATATTGAAATATTTGACCATGCTAAATACTCAGTAAATAGCTATTATAACATGATTGATCTTGAAGTAACTTCCATACTAAGCATGCAGTAAACATGTGAAAAAAACAATTACTTTTAGAGCTGATCTAATAACTATTATAAGCTGAGAAAATTTCAACACATCATACCAGTTAGAAACTTAGGATGGCTGACTTGGTCCAGTATCACCTTCTCCGATCCAACGAACACATATCTGCATCGAGTATCGACGTCTACATATTCACCATGAGAATACATCTATAGACATGATAAAAGATTTTTTAATATTAAGCAACCAGGGACCTATAAACCACAAGGCAGCAAGGTCACTGATGCTACTATTATAATTAAATAGAATATATTTTTACACTGTACAATTTAACTTTGACAGTTTAAGTGGAAATTTATTCGTAAATTTTACAGCATTATTAATTATAAATAGATACATGTGTGGTGTACCTCAACGCTCAAGATTAAGTTCGTGAACGAGTTCACAACGACCTAGATCTACATGTACATTGTAAATCCAAGTTTCTCGCCATACTGCACTGAATTCCTTTGTCCTGGAGATAGTTCTGCAAATCGGAAACAAGCCAGGAGAAAAAAAAAATCATATCTTCAGCCAAACCTCCTATTATTTACTATGATATTCCGCTTTTTCATGTTTTTGTTTTGATATTTCAAGAAAACGTCACGAAACCGGAAGTTACCATGTGGAACATTTTAGTGAAGGCGCGAGTAAAAATCGAATAAAAACGGTGTTCCGGCATAACTCGAAACACGGCTATTATAGTATGTGGTTGTAAGAAAAAAAATACATCTGTTGGGAGGAGTTATCTCTCTTCTAAATATTTCTTCATGTGAAAAAAAAATATACTAATAAAAATGCTGTATTGAGTACTTGAAACATTAAACCAGTTTTAAAGTGGTCCTTAAAAAGATACATCTTATTCAATTTATAAGGCTTTTGATGTTAGGATTAAATGTTTTATTGTTAAATATAATAAAACAATTAAAAAGAAATTGGCAAAAGAAATGGAAAGTATTGTTTCCATCCACTGTAGATTTCAATAAGTCTCAATAAGGTATCTCTGATCAACAAAACTTTGAATAATAGTCACAACTTGTACTTTCAAAGTTAACTCTATTTTGAGAGGGTATATACCTTGCAGTGTTTAATGGTTTATAGTAGATTTTTGAGATCATCAATGTCGTAAAAATACCTTTCGACAAAATAGGTAAAATATTACATAAGGATGAGTCAATGATTATTTATGTAATGATGTAATCTAATGCAAAGAGTTCAACTTTAACAATGTCGGTAAAGACAGTTTGACGTAAATAAACTAATATTTGTAGAATAGGCCTTTTAATGAATTAATGAAGAAATATTATTTCAGATCACTACAAAGCAACCAGATAACCACCATTGCAGACAACACCTTAAATGGATTGCCAAATTTACAGAGACTGTAAGTTTTTGATCATTTTTTTTTTCATTTGTCAGATTAAAAGAAAATTTTATTTATTAGCAAATTCGCAAATTTAATGTATCAGGGAATTTGCTTACAACATTTAAAGAAAAGATTACGGATATTAATTGGATTGAGTAAAGGACAATAGATGTTGTCTCTGCAGGTCGACGCATGTACTGAAGATAAACAAACGTAGTAGATATTAAGTTGGTTATTTGACTCTATAGAATGCATGATGAAGTACCCTTAATGTTTACTGCCAAGGGTGAAAAAATAACTTCTACATAATGTTTCTTTATACATAAAAAAAACATCAGGTACAATGTTTTTGGAGCTTTTTATTTTTTGAGGAGTGACAGGTGAAGTGATGTAGTAAGTCTTTCATTAACATGTTCAAACGCAAACAAGGATGAAAGTATTTTCTATACATTACTGCTCAAATTGTTTTCATGAACATAATGCTTGGATTTACATGTAGCACACGTACTTAAGAAACAAGTGTAAACTTATAGGGTTTAGAATAAGTTTTTTATTTGAACAATTTTAACCTGGAATATATTTGCTGTTCGTTATATCCATATCCTTCATTCATATAAGAAAGATATGGAGATAAGAATAACATTCAATACACTACTGGACTTGAAATTCCCTGATATTCTGATAATTCTCTGAAAATCTCTGATAGACTCTGTACTTTCACTGTAAATCACTGTACTTGGCTCTGTACAACACAGTACATTACAGTACATCACTGTACAGAATCACAGCATTTCCCAGCACCTCCCTGTACTTCACAGTACATTTCCTCTGTACATCACAGTACTCTACAGTACTTCCTAGTACGCAGTCACTGTTTTCCACTGTACGTCACAGATTTTTGCTGTACAGATAACTGTACTTCACAGTACATTTCTATTATTCCCTGTACACATATACTGTACATTACAGTACATCACAGTATTTCACAGTACCCATAACTGTACATTACTGTACTGCACAGTTTTACACTGTCCTTTTCCCCATTGAGTTTTATTTAATAATAAGTCTTTATTCCAGTAAATGACTGAATTTTTAATAATTCTGTTATCAAAGTTTTGTTTGTATTTATATTTTTCATCCTAAGTATTTCCGTGTAAGCATTTTGGAGGTTATATTTCCAATATCACACCCGCTAAAAGAAAAAAAAAAGGCCAAGACAAGAGTTTGATTTAAAATGGCTTCTTTAAAAAAAAAAATCTTTAATCAATATTTTTTTTCAAATGACTAAATATTTCATTTCTCTATGTTTCAGTGTACAGAGGACGAATATAATAAACCAAAAAATATCCCGTTACCTTTATGTTGATATTTAATTCTTTGAGTTTACTTAATTATCTAAATCCGCTGAAAATGTTATTTTCTGCTTTCTTTCTTTTGTAAATTAAAAACCAATAGCATTTACCTCTGCTCTAACTCTATTGACTTAAACTTATTTAGATACAATTATGAATGTAGTGATTATGTACTAGATAAATTTCAATCATGTATAGTTGTATTTTCCTCTTCTTTTTATTTTTTTTTTTTGTATCTAAACACACAATCACAATCAAATGTAACAAAAGTTTTTTTTCCCTTCTTTCAAGATTATACGGTTTATTCCCATCTCGCTTTAACTGTAAAATTAAGCATTCCCGTTTCGCCTTAGTAAGCTCTTAGGTGAATTAAGGAAAGGAAGATTTAATATATTCAGCATAAAGTATTTTTTGGTATAACATGTATTATTTCATTCGCAGTATTCATAAATTGCCATTAATTACGAAATTAAATTTTAAATAAATATTTCATTCAATTTTTTATATCAACCCAGTAATAATATTCACAAATACTAAAATTCCCATTTCGCCTAAGTATTTTTTTAATGAATAAAATACTAAAGGATCGTTTTGTTATATAATCCTTATTAATCTTACATAATCTGAAAAAAAAAAAATAATTTGAGCATCGTATGTACAATTGCTAGGGCATTTATAAATTTTGAATTTTTCACATGAACTGATAATGCACACATATATCTATAAATCTGAATTCTTAATAAATCATGATCTCAAGTTAAAATAAATTGAGTGATGTCAAACTGCACAAATATTAAGTGTAAATAAAATGAATTTACAGTTAAAAACGGACTTAGAATAAGTTATGTTCGTAAAAAAGCATTCTTCGTTGAGTCTACCTTAATCAATCTTAAATGATTTTAAATTTTTATTGATATGGTATGACTTATATATTTAAATTTTTTTTTCAAGAATTACCTTCAGATTTTAAGTAGCAATCTTTCACTGATGACATTGCGACACTTCCTTCAATTCATAAACATTCTTCTATTAAAAGGAAAATTATAAAAGAGTTGAGTTTAGTTAAATAACAAAATTTTTAAATGAAAAGTGTCAAGAAAGATTATACTAGTACAGTTTAATAATTCTAAAATGTATTTATGAAAGATCCAGCTTAAATTCACTTCGAACAATAAATTGTAATATTTTAACAATTACTTTTTATTTATTTTTTTTTAATAATAACACTTTACTTGAAATACAAGAGAGAGAGAGAGAAGATATTTCCGAATACACGTGTCACTTCAATGTTGCGTAATATTGCATGCTTCTATATACATGTAACCGGCGAGTGTCCATGGCGGCAGTGACACCTGTCGTCTCACTGTTCGGGGTACTTCCCGGCGCTGCCGATAGTGTGTACACACTTTTGTTTTTAAACAAGCGATGCTAGATTTACCAATTTCTGAAATCTTTTTAACCTGACAAAAATACTCTCGAAAATTTTGTATCAAATAATTGTCACGGACACTGTTAAGATTACATGTACATTACATTCTGACTTTAATTAGCTAAGATAGAAACTACTTTTGACAGAAATTAAAAATATTTTCTAGCAACAGAATAAAAGTCAGTGTTTATGAACGATGATAACTAATACATTTTTCTCTGTTACTCGCGATTACATTTTTTATATTCAAAAATATTTACTCTGTCAGTCTAAATACTAGCTTATAACACCTATCATAATGCCTTTAGTTACAAATTTTTACAAGTCCCTTAATATATCTCAGTAAACGTAAAAAAATCTATTTTAGTTATTTTGTTTTTACGAATCAAACTTCATGCAATCCATCATTAATGAGAAATTCTGATATTTGACATCCCCTCCTTTGATATGATATTTTAAAAAAATAAAAAAAGAATAAGAAAGAAAATAGAGAGAAGAAAATCCAATTCCAATCATTGATATTGTCAAAAAATTTCATGCATCTTGTATTATATCGCGTGTCTGCCCCCCTCATCCCAAAAAAGAAAAACAATCAAGGTTTCCTTGAGTGTTTAAATATAAAATTCAACCGTGATCCCCTAAAATCGGTCATGGCACGTTTGAGTATAACAATGCAGAGATCTGATGGCACGAAACTGATGGCCCCGGGCAATTCACCGGCTTTAATTTGATAAAATAGCATTTTTTTCTTTTGCATGCAAGACCCTTTGAGAACTTTACATTCAATTAGTAAATGCTAAAATTACCAATGAATTATAACAAATTTACATTTAAGCTGTGAAGCAATGAGGGATCTTTCTCGCTCCCGTGCCATCAGTTCCGTGCCATCAAATCCTTGCAATCGTGCCATGACGGACTACCAATGCACAAATATATGGGAAGTAATCAAAGTTACTTATTCGTGTGCAAACGTCAACCAATATTCTGTTGTTGTTGATTATTTATTTGTTTGATTATTTTTCTTTTATTATTATTTTGATCCATTACATGGCACATTACTCAGCAGTGAGGGACCTTTCTTGTTCGCTGATCCTTAGGCCCCGTGTCTTCAGCTCCTCAGTAAACCATTCTTCTCAAACATGTTCAATATATACAATATTTAATTGCTTACTTTTTGTGAAAAAAATAAACAAATATATTCTACATTAAGGGATCACGTACTTGCACGCAGGGTCCATGTCTGTCTGTAGCTCCTTAGAATATTTTTTTGCTCCGACGTGCGATACTGATTCTCTCAACACAAATTTAAAACATACACATAGAACTTATTTATTATTGTGATAATCCAAGAGTCTGCACTTATGGGTATTGTGATCTGGACGCATTTTAGGAGGAAAACATACCAAAAAATCCTTAGGAAAGATAACCACTGCTGACAAACTGGAAAAACGGCTTCAATCAAAAAAATATTTATTTACTAACAGATCGATAAAACTCAAATATTACATGCTACATGTATTACTTCATTCAATATATTATATAATCCATTTTTTAAGCGCGATTCTGAATGAAATTTTTTCTTGGAACTTACTTGAAACGATATTATTTTCATTAAATGCCGTATTTACATCTTATGCATCAACAACCCCCCTCCCCAACTCCCCCATTTGAAGGACTTCCTATTAGGCCTATTTGATGTGGATGAACGTAATTAAGACTGCACATAAGACTCTCAAGTTTCCAATAACTTTTGACAAAATACTACTTTGTAATTACTTAATGTATGATCCATTATTGTTTATTGATTTATCCTCTATCTTCTTTCTCGCTCTTCCTCTGTGTGTTTTATTCTTATGATTTACATGTATCTTACAAATTGCTATAATAATCATTTTCTCTCTGCACCCCTCTCTCTCTCTCTCTCTCTCTCTCTCTCTCTCTCTCTCTCTCTCTCTCTCTCTGGGGTTAATTCAATTTTTGTTATTTGATTTTGTATACATGTACTTTTTTCCCTATTTTTATCAGTTCATGCATTGTGTCTCTAGTACAATATCTATGTACTGCAGTTTTTAATTCAAACATTTTTTTTTCTATTTAAAAAGCATGATTTCTTTCTTCTTGATTATTTAAAAAAATATGATTGTTGTGATGTATAGAGATTTGTGAAAATTCCACCTTGTTCTGAGTGGTTAGTTAGTTTGTATATTTGCAACTTACATCACTGGTGAGACGCGAGC